CAGCAGAGTTGTGCTTGCTTATCTGGCAGAAGATCTGGCCTGGGATGCTCTGCTTCCCCTTTCTCAGGTTTTCAAGCCATCGCTATCGCAGCCAGACGATTCACGACTCCCTGGAGACCTCTGACATTTATTCTTTTACTTCTTGGGAAGGGAAAGGCTTCTTTCTATTATTTTTTTAGACTACTTGCTTTGTGGCCCCGTAGCTTACCTGGCAGAATTCAAGGGTGCTTCAGAAATGAAGCTTACCCCGTCACCTGAGACAGTCACTGAAGAGGTATGACCCTGGAGAGTCCTGACAACCTCTGTGTTTACCCAAGGGGCACTTCAGCCACAAGAGCAGCCCTTGCAGTGACGCGAACAGGGACGCAATCCTCATAAAAGCGGAGATTAAGCAAACGCAAAGCGCGGAGGAACCACAGCCACACAGCAGAACCGCAGCTGTGCGGCCGGAGAGCCAAAGCAGCTAAGTGGACATCCTGCATTCTGCTAAGCCAGCACTATGAAAGTGGTGGTCCGTTAGCTTGACCAGAGGCTGCCCTAAGCATGAGTGTGCTTACACAACACTTCATAGAAAACCACCATGCCGAGCAGGGACAGACATTTCGTAAGTGACAATCCAAGTCTCAAACCAGAGAGGATGGGGACTGCAGGGTCTCTGCTCCACAGGAATAACCGTGCCCCTCACACATCACCCTGGAGAGAAGTCAGGGCTTGGAGAAGACAATGGCAGAGGTGTCTCACTGCCAGGTCCAGACTGCAGGGAGCAGTGAGAGGGGACAAGCCAGGAGCCAAGGGTGACCCCAGCACAGGCAGCGTCCTCACCGGTGAGGTGAGGTCCCACAGGGTCTGAGCATGGTTAGCAGAGCCAAATGCTGGTAACAGGGTCCATCAACGGTCTCAGACACACCAAAGTGAGGAACCAGATCCAGGATCCATTCGGGAGGGTTAGGGGGCATCCATTCGGCAGCAGCAGGAGATGGGGGTGAAGACAGGGCTACAACACCAAAGGGGTCATCCAGCCAGGAGACAAGATACCTACAGCCTACAAGGCCTATCCAAGAGACAGGGCCAGAGCCAAAACATCCGACCGGCACTCTTACAACCCATCCAAAGCAGGGACTAGAGACTCAAGCCTGAGCTTAAAGGGGGCTCCTGGGCCTTGGGCAGAGGCGGGTGTGTGTGTGGGGAGGGGTGAGTCCATCCACAAGTGAGGCTGGTCAGGGTGATTAAGGCCAATTAGTACCCTGAAGGCCTGCCACCATGCCATCTAATGGATCCTGTGGGGATGTGAAGGCATGGAGGTGAGCCTGTGTGGAATCCCAGTGACTCCCTGTTCTCATAAGGTCAATCAAAACAGCTGGCTAACGAAGTGGTGGAGAGGGTTTGCACTGACGTGGAGCTGGAAACCAAAGATGTGGGTCACCAAGGGACCAGAAGGGGCACACCATGACCACGGGCCCCCTGTCTCCTGTGGGTTGGGGGGGGAACCTCGAGGCAGAAGCACGTGTCTTGCACACTAGGTGTCCCACCTGAGCATGACAGACTTGGCATTAGTCCTCTCCTGAGCCAAATTCTACACCTGAGGCAGCCCATGGACATCCAGGAGGTGCACGGGAAGGTGCATGGTTGGACAGCCTTCGCACAAGGTCTTTCCCTGCACGGTCAGACATAGAGAAGCCAGGGAGCACCAGCAAAGCCAGCGAGCGTATGCCAACCAGCCGGCTGAGGGACCGGGCACCCAAAAGCTCCCTCGGTGCTCCGGAGCCGCAGCCCCCGAATGGTGCCACGCCGGCGCCGGTGCTCGCTCTGTGTGTCGGAAATGATTCATCACTGTCGGGGCTGACTTGTTTACACAGCCTCCCCCTCCCTCGCCCGCCCTCTCCCCATAACAGAGAGCAGAAAAGGAAAAAAAAAATTGTTTTTCTTTCCACAGAGCTTCTTATCCCCCAGATGACCTTTCTGGCCTGGTGATTCATCTGGGGGAAGTTTTCACGGACCTCACCATCATTCGCAGCGTGCCAGCAGCGCCAGAGCATGGGGCAGGGCGGCCGCGCGGCGTGGGGCTGGGGCATGGCCGGGACGAGGGCTCCTGGGGTGCAGGGGAGATGCTCGTCCCTGACCCTCTTGCTCGTTCCAGCTCCCCACTCCAGGCAAGTCCCTGGGCACTGACTCTTGTATTGCGTTGCCTTTCCCACCTCTCCTCCCTGACACTAGAGAGGAGAACACAAGGGCAGCCCAAGCCCTGGCTGGGGTGGGAGATGTCCTAGCTCAGCCCTTGGACTCTTACCCCTTTACAGAACACACTTGGAGCATAACATTTGTTTTCTGTGGGTTGCTTTTTGGTCACAGCCTTGCTTAAACAAAGCAAAAACCCAGCTGTTTTTTTCAGTATTGCCTTAGCAGGATGGGAAATGCGACTCCCTGTGAGAAAATATATCCCCTGCAAATTTTTGGCAAGACTGAAGCCCTTAAACAGTGAGGAGGTGGAGCAATAGCCCGGCCACATCAGCTGCGCCGGCTTTGCTGTCTCTTGGCGATGCTGGGATTCCCCCCGTGGTGCTTAATCATATGCGTTCATCTCCGCACCTCTGCCAGGACCAGGCTTGGTCACCCAGCCCTGGGCTGAAACCCCTGAGGACAAGAGTTTTTAACGTAAGGACTTCAAGGGCAGCCTGGGCTGCAGTGACCACGAAATGGTGGAGTTCAAGATCCTTAGGGCACCGAGGAGGGCGCAGAGCAAGCTCGCTACCCTGGACTTCAGGAGAGCAGACTTTGGCCTCTTCAGGGATCTGCTTGGCCGAGTGCCATGGGACAAAGCCCTGGGGGGAAGAGGGGCCCAAGAAAGCTGGGTGATATTCAAGGATCACCTCCTCCAAGCTCAGGAGCGAAGCATCCCAACAAAGAGGAACTCAGGCGAAAACGCCAGGAGGCCTGCGTGGATGAACAAGGAGCTCCTGGACAAACTCAAGCACAAAAAGGAAGCCTGCAGAGGGTGGAAGCAAGGACAGGAGGCCTGGGAGGAATACAGAGAAATTGTCTGAGCAGCCAGGGATCAGGTTAGGAAAGCTAAAGCCCTGATAGAATTAAATCTGGCCAGGGACATCAAGGGCAACAAGAAAAGATTCTATAGATACGTTGGGGATAAAAG